ATATAAATATATATGAGTATATGTAGTGTGTGAAAGTGTATGAGAGCTTTCGCGCGCGCGTGTGTGTGTGTGTGTCCTTGCGTGAACAGTGCGTACGAGAAACGCGTACGCTCGCCACGATCGCGGGCTCAACACTGGCGCGCTGTGTCGGCCGGACTTTTAGTTCGTGGCACTACCGAGAAGCGTCGCGGTGCCCGTCCCACCCACCCTTCTTCTGCTTCCTGACACCGAGAGTGCCTCGTGCGCGCAAGAGTGCCCCCTACCACCCCCCATACTAGGAAGTGCACAAGCGAGTGCACGCCGAGTGCACGCCGAGTACCGAAAGAGTGCCAGCTACCACCGCGCCGCCGCTCATCGACGCCGGCCGATCGACCCTCCTTTTCTCTCTCCCTCTCTCTCTCTCTCTCTCTTTCTCCTCTCCTCTCCCTTTTACTCCCTCTCAACCTCTCTTATTCCTCTACCGGGCCCATCTACGACGCTCGAAGAACTTACGAAATTAAGCCGAATATTCCGACAACTCGATGATCCTCCACGATAGAAGACAAAGAGAGAGAGAGAGAGAGAGAGAGAGAGAGAAAGCAAAAGAAAGATAACAAGAGAAAGAGAGAAAAGTTTTCTTGGTAGAAAACGTTTAGAATTATACGCGATCGATCCCTTACCGATACAACGGGGAGGTAAAATTTGCTTCGTCCTTTTTTTTATCTCTCTCTCTTTACTTTTCTCGAAATAGAAAATGAGAGACGTCCAGAGCACGTCCGGGAAGAGAAACGAAAGTAACGAAAGCAGTTGACGATCGTAGTAGCTTCTTTTTACCCCTTAGATCGACTACGTCTTCGCGATAAAAGAAAGCTTATAGGATTTCTCGTTTCTATCGTTGGTTTACCGTGGTATAAGAGAAACGGTAAGAGGCTCTTTTCCTGGTGCACAGCCCTCACCCGACTGACAATAAGATCGAACCTTTCAAGCTCGCGTTCGCGAATGTTTCGACGAACTGTGTCGAGAATAGATACGAAAGGATATAAAGAAATAAGTAGGGAGAGAAACGAACGTAAATTCCAAAAAGACTGTTAATTTTCAGCGCATTTACGGTACTTTGCGATGTTCCAAGAGAGAGAGAGAGAGAGAGAGAGAGAGGAAGGAAAAACGAAAGCTCTGCTCGAAGTTAATGCGAAGAAAGAAATTCGAACTGTGTAGGGCATTATAGTTGAATAGAAGAGAAACACTATATATATATATTGATAAATCGATCGAAACGAATTTCTAGCTTGGACTCAACAAGATATTTCTCAGTCAGCCGTTGGGTACCAGGGTAGGCGCGTTATTAATTAGTCAGTAATTGACAAATTGCGGGATAAAGCGGCAACGAACGATTGAATGTTTTAGAGCGTTGAGCGTTCCGACTGCGGAACTCGCGACGATGGGGAAGAGAAAAGGCGGGCGGAAAGGGTTGCTCGTTCCAGACTGTACGGAACGAGAAAGGGAATGGGTGGTAGGGACAGAACGAGTTAGTGAATTACACAGAGAAAGACCGAGAGAAAGAGAAAGTATGTGTATGTGGGTATGTGTAAGTGAGGGAAAATGAGAGAGAGAGAGAGAGAGAATGTAGCGAGAACGCACGTAAGCTCCAGCTGCACGCAATAAACGTGCATTAAGCCACGCGCATGTGGTCCAAAACCATCGGGATTATGGCGAGAGCTAATTAACCGCCTCTATCCCCCACTTCGCATTTAACCTTTCAAACTCGACGAGCACGATGCATCTCATCGCTCTCCGAATTCGAGTCTTATCCAAACGCGGAAAGAGCTTTTCGCCAAAGCACGAAATACTTTATCTTACTGATCGATCCGATAGATTCTCTATACCCGTAGCTATCGCTTTGAAAAAGAATAGCACTCTTGATCAGACAGCAAGCGATACCTACCACTTTCTTCCTTCCTTCCTTCCTTCCTTCCTTCCACCCTTCCTACCCATTTCCCCCGCCTTCTTTACAAGGCGTTCGAACGAAAGCATCGACGATTTCTGAACGTTGCAATCGTTGCACTATGATCCGCGCGTTTCGAATCCGAAGAGCAAGTTAAAACGAACCGCAGCTAACCGCGCAGAACTTCTACTTACGTTAATTCCAAACTCAAATGTGAAATCGCACAATTCGACGAATTCCGCTCTGCTTCCTAGCACCGACGAAAAGGGATCAAAAGGTGTTCCTAGACCGTTACGGAAACTCCTTTGAAAGGCTTGCCAATCTACCGTTGAAACGTTTTCAAGCGGCGAGGAGCAACTAAAATTCGAACAAAAGTCGTGCGGCGAAGAGGACTCCACGAGGACAAGAGGGAAGGATCCCTCGTCCCACAGACAAAGTAAGGAAGCACATTCATTGGGGAAGATTTTTGGCAGAAAGGTCGAAAGTGTAGACAAATTTTGTCTTAAATATTCTTCGTAGTCGATGTTCTTCGAGATTTATCGTTCGATCTCGCGAAATCATTCGAAACGAGAAAAAAATTTTCGTTGTTTTTTCTTTTTTTTTTTTTTTTTTGTGAAATTCTGAGATGTCTGTTGAAACTTTCACATAGATCAAGTCGTAATAAGAATGGTGAGAGATGTTAGTGTAGTGGTAGGTTGGATAATGGCCGCTAGCAAGCATGAGCAAACGGGAAGCTTGCTTGCTTGCTGTTTGTTGCAACACGGTGCTCGATTAATTTCTCGGGCAAAGCCTGCAGGTCAGAAGGACATCAACGCCGATTGTTTTCGGCTTTGTTGAATCCATAGTATGTATAAATGACCGCCGGGCCCTTTCGCCTATCTCCTAATCAAACCAATGCTATGAGACAGTATTACACATAGAGGTACTGTCTCTCCTTCGAATGACAAGAGAGGAAGAGAGAGAAACGGATAGAAATAGTGTTTGTATATTCATGATAATATTGGACAATGGAATACAATGCTAGATATACGTATGCATAAGAAAGACAATTATAAATAAGTAAAATAATAATATATTACTGACAAAAGGAAAGATTACTTAAAAAGAAAAATTTATAGAGAAAAATATTTGCTCGTTTTAATATAAGCTCCAATTACTGTGATTCATGAAAATATTTCAACGATTATGATTCTCTAGAACCTCTATACACGTAGGTGAAGTTTCAAGATAATCGAAATATTATGTAAGCTTCGCTGATGCCAAAAAAGTATTTTAACAGCACAAAAATGAATTGTAATTGTAAGTATCAATGAAAACAAAGTTTTTCAAGCACCTAAGTTAACATTTATCGTTGTTAATTGTCGTTTGTACGTAAGTGTAGCGTACAGTCTATTATTCACGATGAAATATTACATAGAAAATAAAATTTATTTGAGAAAGCGCGTATACCGTATCTTTCCAATCTCAAAAAATATTCGATTTAATTCTTGTCATCTTTTTCAATGGTTCGTGTCGAGAAGATCGTTAAAGTGGAAGGTCTTGTTTCCGTTGGAAAAATAAAGAAGGAAAAAGGATAGTGTCGAGAATTGTGTTAACCAGCTGACACTTACGAACGTGTTTCAATGAAAACCATCACGTTCGAAGTCACCTTCTCCATAAACCCTTCTTCCATTCTTCGATTATATTCCCTTCGTAAGTTATACTTGTAACGTTGAAATACCATGAAAAGAAATCGGCGTGTCCGAGTTTTTAGATCAGAGAAAAAAATTCGCGTTACGAATAAAAAAAGAATAATTTTTGATCTTTCAAGTATATCCAAGGAAACGATGGAAAATGAATAAGATTACGAATGGATGGACGTTGTTGATACGGTCAAAAAGCACTTTGATGGAGTTAAAAGATGAAATTGGATTGATAAATAAAAAAATATAAAAACAAACAAGACCCCAACTAAAGATCCTATTTATAATTCTTTGATCATTCAAAGATACGTAAAGAGACTTGATAGTATCTTAAAAAGATAATTTTTTGGAAAATAATATTTGATAATTAAAATGGATAATTACGCGGAAATTGGCAAAGGGCGTAAAGCAGAAGATCGGAATTTCGAATGTAGAAATGAAATATTTAAAAGAGCATCGGCATTTCATCATTGGCATCAACGCTATAGAAAACATTTTCCAATATTTTCCGAAGCAATGAGCCTTCATTTTAAAAGCTGCCGGTATAATTATCTTTACCGCTCGTGCCAACTTTAATGGCAATGATATTAATGGAAAAAAAGAAAGAAACACGTGGTCACGAATGGAAAAGAGATCAAAAGAAAGAGATAGAATGAAAGAAAGAGAAAGAAAAAGAGAGAGAGAGAGAGAGAGAGAGAGAGAGAGAGAGAGAGAGAGAGAGAAATGCAAAAACAACTGATTCTGAATAAAACCCAATCATTTTTGTTCGCGTTCTCTTATTACATAATTAAATATATAATATATTGAAAATCGTAGGAAAATCGTTTCGTTGATATGGATCGAACCGACATTGAAAATAATTCACCTCTGGATAGTTTATCATTTGTTAATAACTAAGCACAACTATAATGAAAAGGAAAAAAAAATAATTTGTTCGTAGCGTGACTTACGGTTAATTGAAAAGTAAGGTGTATTTTTTTTCTTGGCGAATCATCATTCGAGGCTTCGCTTAAAAGGGAAATAATGTTCGTTGGTGAAGAAAAAAAAAACGGATTAGCTGATTTTAGATCTGAAGGAAAGTTTCGACGTTCCCGGCATGCCCGAATTCACGCTTGGTAAGTTAGTGTACCCATCTAACGTAACCCATTAAGAAACGCCCTGGCCTAATTAGTCTCCGATATTCCTTCAAGATTCCAGATCATTAAGCCGTACTACGAAACTTCAACTTGCACACCTCGACCGATCGTTAAGTGAATATAACGAGTAACGACAGCTTGCGCAATCAAGTTTGGTCAACCGTATGTAAACGTCATCGTCCTTGTAGTCAAGAATGATTCACGTTACGAAGAGTATCATCGTTTTAATTTCCACATTTGTTTGATAATCTTTCCCTGAAGAAAGATTTATAAATCACAAAGCGAGATCAAAAAGAAAAAAATTGAAGAGACCATTTATAATAACCAACGTATAAAAAAATATTGTTTAGATAGTTCGTACAATAGGCTCGATGATTTATTTACAAA